ATAAAATTGTGTATGACATCTCGACCCCTTGACACCTCAACCCCTAGGTCATATCGACCCATGATATTAAGACCCCTAAGACACTTAGACCCCTTAAATATTTTGGACATTTCAACCCCTTATTCTATTATGTACTTGAAGACGTTAACTTAGAAAAATAATGTGCATTAAGACATAAATATAGTAAAAAAAAAAAGTAATTTTGATTACAAGTTTGATTATTATATATATATATAATCACAGATTTATATTACAAGGATCGGACACTTTCGTTTAGCTTAAAGTCCCGTCGCGCGCATGCGCGGAATCGGATAAAAGTGAACAGAATGAGATGGCGGAACGCGCGGAGTGCGAAATAGGACAGATTTTCACAAGAGTATGTGGTGTTATTGCAGCTTTATGAAAAATTATACACATATGAATGTATTGATACAGTTTTATTTTGTGTAACTAAAGTATTAATATATGAAAATATGCCGATAGAACGCTGCAACGCTTAGTTAAAAAGTACCTAATATAAAAAATATCCGCCTTTTGTTTAGGCATACTCTCTACACTTTGACGCCCTTTTATACTTCAAGCACGAATTATTACCGCGATTCAGAATAAGATAATTATTTTTTACATGGTTTAATGGTGGCATTGAAAAAAAAGTTTCTTGATTGCTTAAAAAACTTTTAAAGAAATTCATGTTTGAAATGTGCCTTTTTTTCTGTGAATTTCCAAATGATTTGTACATTTTTTATTTGATTACCTGTATATTAGTATAAATATAGTAAATATTCTACTAATTAGTGTATTAGATATATTTCAGATCATTCTAGACATTTTGCGTTCAAATATAGATGAATTCATTAGATTGGCAAGGAAGAAACTTTTATTGGCATGCTGTTTTATAATATTATTTTTTATTTTGAAACAGATTTTTTTCATAGTTATCCTTCACAATTCACGTCAAATGAAAGGACAATACAAATTTAGTTGCATTTTTTCAATTTCATTTATAAATGTAAATAAAGAAAATAGATTTACATTGTATTTATATATATCCTCTTCAGAATCATTTTCTTACCACACATGCCATGGACTGTAGTTAAAAACCGCCCACATACAAAATATACATTCAAATTTTATTTGATTTTGAAGATTGAGTGTTGCAATTATCACATGTAACCTGGTAATGAAAGTTTGAAAATAAAGATTTTTTAATTATCACTTACCCTCCTTCAAAAGTAATTTAAAACTTGAAAGAAATGTAAGCGGTATGTAAAAAATAATCAAAAGTTACTTTTATTTCGCAAAATACAGACTCAAACTGTAAAAAAAATTATTGTTTTTCTAGCGTTACATTAAAAAGTATCATAAATATCTTTCTACAGGCATTCATATAAAAAGAATAATTAAAATATACGGATTAAAATATACGAGTGACATTTAAAAGACCGGAATCGAGACAGTCACACGAGAGAACTTTACTGTTATGATGATTGTCTACTTCACTGCACCGACATTTGAAAACAGATTTACAAAAAATAATAATGATATAAATGATGAATAATTTAAATATTCTATGAATATGGCAATATTGACAATCTCGGCAATATTTTGTACTAAAAAAATGAATAAATTTTCTTCATGTGTTGAGCGAATTGTAAAGGCCGCAATACATTAACCGTAAAACGATTGTGCGTGAATAAATTTGACTACATAACCCAATAAATCTTAAATATTGAATGTTTGATCATCTGTGAATAACTTACATCGGCTTCTTTTTTATTTTGAAACTGAAATTATTATGGTACCGTAATAATAAGTTTCAAATACCACCTGCTTTTTATATAAAAAATGTAAATTTACCGCGGATTTCGTCAAGTTAATTTTTTAATTGTCGTTGCGGACAGATAAACTGTACCTCTAAAAATTAAATTAGATATTTGAATTAAACAAGTACTTTTCTTCAAAATAAACTTTAAATTTCCAAAATCGGATAATAAATGGAAAAGCTGTATGGTATTTTGTAAAGTAGGTATCCGTTGCGAACGCGCATTTACGCTTAGCGCCGGTAAATTATCGATCGATGTACCTTTATCGGGTGCACGACAAGATATTTAAGCATTTATATAGGGTTAACTGAGAGTGTCCGATCCCTGTAATATAAATCCGTGATATAATCTAATAGATAAAGTGAATAATAAGTGAAATCATATTAAACCGCTATTTGTTATACACAATAATTCATCAAGTCAAGTATTTTATGTAAAGAATAGAAACACACGCACTACATTTAAACAGAAAGTATATATACATGTATTATGTATGTATGTATACATAATATCATAAATAACAGTAATTGCAATAGAAATAGTAAATGTTATTTGTTATGATATAAATATCTATCAGTCGTTTGGTAATTCACCTTTTTCTAAGCAAATATTGTCATTATTTCCATGTGCATTTTTTTGTTAATTTTTTAAATCGAACAACTCATATCAGAAAATAAAAGGTTGTTTGGTTCTTTAAATACTATATTTTAATGAAAAACATGTACGTGTGTTGTTATACATGAAATAAAAATATTTTTTCGAGGATATTAGTAAGGAATTAAATAATTATTAACGACTTTTTAATCATTAATAAAGCCTGATAAATTACGAAAAGTTACAAAAAACTTCAGAGAGAAAAAAGTAATGTTAAAATTTTAAAAAAGTCCTTATCTGGCACTGAAGTCACAAGCAAAATCATAATATCACTAATACCAATACAGTATTAATGTACCAACAATTAATTTTTCATAAAACATTTGTGTTAGATACATTTTAATATAATGGTATTATTGTTTGATTTTATTAACCTGTCATTTCTATACTGATTATACGGTCAATGCACAGAATATATAAATATTCGATAAATGTTCAATAAATTCCGTGAGATGTGCGCAGTAAGATGTGATTAAATTCATTTTGTTTTTAAGAATTAGTTACACTGACCGTTATAGTGCAATAGGGTAAACCACTGGTATATTTTATCTGAATGTCCAACGTGTTGTAGGATCGAGACAGAGTATGGCCAGTATTTTTTTATTCATAACTATTTTCAACATGTTTTTTCAGTTATGGTTGTTCCGTTTTTAATATGTTTTGCACCTTTTTGTAAATACTATACATTTGTATATAACATTGTTTAAGAATTAATACTGAAAATTCATTCCGATTAAAATCAATAAATGTAATTATACAATATAAAATGTGACAATTCAGTGTTTCTTAGTTGGTTCATATCCGTGTAGACAAATTGCAAGCACTTGACCATTTTCATTCAAATATACTTAAAAATAAAGAAAGAATAAGTCTAAAAAGAATGTCAAAAAAGGGGATCGAACCTCGGACCCCTCATGCATTAGGTAATCACTTAACTGACTGTGCTATTGCGGATGTTACAAGAACCTACATTAATCTAGTGAGAGTTTTCCAAACGTAAGTGATATACTCCATATTAATTCTCGTAAAATAAACGGAAAAAACCGAAGTGGGATCGAATATTTAAATGAGTGCTAAAATGTATTCATAATTGACAGGTCAGACTATACATACATGTTATCAATGTATCAATGCTCGCGCTCTTATCATGTCTGTATGCCTATAAATATTTATTTCATGCTTTCCAGTGTTTCATTGTAATATATCAGATAATTCTATTCTGATAAACCACTAGTGAAATTTATAAAATATAATTTTCACTGTAGCCGGACTATATCCAAATGCGGATGAAAAGAAAATCATAACTAAATGGAATAACAGGCAGAAATAAATGCCGTTACACGTAAATTGTGATTCTTTAGGAAAAGAAAGTCGAGTGTCACCATACATCATGTTAAAAATGTAACAAAATTAGAGAAATTTAACAGAACTATATCTCAATATTGATGATGTGACATCATGATGTGATGACGTCACAAAGGAGAATGCACGACGTTACACGCCAAAATCAGTAAAAAATACTTAAAATCACTTAAAAAGCATGAAATAAAAAGAAAATTTATTTGTTTTACGTATAAGATTGAAATATATTTCATTCGTGAACACCAGCTATTATATTTTCACTCATGGCTACGCCACTGGTGAAAATATTGCATCTGGTGTTCACTCAGTGAAATTATATTTCAATCTTACATGCAAAACAAACAAATATCCTCTATGTAATATGTTTATATACTTTAATAAAATAATTAAACTGAATGTTACATAAAATTATAACAATTTCTTTCCCAATCAGAAAATCCTGTTTAAATGAAATGCAGCTTCTGTTTATTCAGCGCAACAATGACAATTATTTTTCAACTGACACACATTTCAATACTCAAAAGCTAATACTTACAGTAAAAGATTAGACCTGCCATTAAATAATTATGGAAATACTTATTTAAAAGTAATGTATCATTAAAATGTATAAATATACATATGTTATTTTTGTTTGACACTACTTATATTCAAAATATGACCCTTGCTAGTAAGTTAAAAAAAGAGTAGATTGTATCTGGGGATTCCATATTTATTTCAAGACATAGTACATAAAACTTGTGAAAGACTGTATATTGCACCATACCTATCAAATCGCATGCAGGGGATGGGTCTATAAAACTTTGACAATAATACAGTTTTTTATTAAGGTGAAGAATTAATATAAATGTGAAAAGAAAAATGATTTTAATAAAGTAATTGAATTCAATGGAATAACTGAATGAGTTAACATAATTTTCCTGTTTTTGTGTTTTACATCATGCTGTCTGTAGGTCATATGGCAACATTCCAGCTTTACTGGTGGAGGAAGACCTCAGTCGTCCTTCCGTGCTTTATTTCAGACACAAACAGGCAAAGATCGAATCACAAATGTTAACTGTCCTCAAAGAAACAACTTTAAACAAAAAGCTTGTTACCTAAAATTGATTTAATTTTATTTTTCTACTTAAAATGCTGTCTTCAATGTTTTAAATGTGTCTTTAGGATTTCTCGCTCAACAGCAAGAGTCAAGAACAGAAGCCATCAATGAATCAGAGGATTTTGAACCTGTCAAAGCAACAAACAACAAGCAAAAAAAACTGACAGCAGTAAAGTATCAGGTTAGTTTAAAGACAAGTTTCACAAAAATTCTCGTGCAATTCTAGACTGGTTTTATAGTTTCATAAAAACAGGAGGAAATGGTAATCATGCTTGAGGAAACAAAGAAAACGGAGAAATATCATTATTAGCAAAAGTGATTTTTCAAAGTTATCCTGTAAGCCTATGTAAAAACATTATCAGGTTTATTCATCAGAAAAAACATGAGTGAAATATTATTGCTTAAATTTTACTTAGTAAGGTATTTGAAATGCGCTAGGCCTTATAGAGCAGAAATAAGGGAATTTTACAATTGAACAACATATCCGTGCCGTGAAAACAAAGCTTGTGTTAAAATAAGAAATCTTTTCTGTAGCCCTTAGTATACTGGACACTGCTTACATTTAATTACTTTTCAGATTCAAATAAGCGGCAAAATCAACAAGCAGAGATTATGTTAACAAATGATGACCAACCTTAGCTCCACATCAAATGACGGCAAAAGAAAGTTTGATAGTAGTGAGTTGTCTGTAACAGGTTAGTTGTGAAATTGAGGTACCATAAAGTCCATGTTGATACATTTTGTAAAAATGATGAGCTACCTTTGCATTTCTGCACTATGCTTATTGATTGCTTTCCTGGACAATGGCAACTTAGGTGGAACTTGCTAAATTTACAATAATGAATGCAGCTATTTAGGCTTTCTGATGCTATGGCATACATTGCATTTATAGTATTTGCATTTGCCTATGACAGTCACATTGTATAAAGAAGCATTAAAAGTTTTGATTTAAGGGAGAGGAACTTTATAAGTTTTCTTTCTTTCTAATCCCTTTCAATCTTACGTAACAATTATATTCATATAAAATGTAATATATGTAAAATGTTGAAATATATATGGTTAACCTAAAAGTTTTGACTTAAAAATACTGGATTGCAAAACATGATACAGAATTTCATGATGTGGTTGTAATAAAATATTTAAAGTAGATTCTTTTGATATAAACCTTCACTAGAAATTCCAGTTAATTTGCTTGATTATGACAAATTTGAATTTCAAACAGCATGCTTAGTGTAAACATTACTGTTCTATTTTTTTGAATTGCAACCACACTTTTTGCAGATCAACGTGCCATGGAAGTATTGAAAAAAAGATGACCAACATGCCAATCTGTGCTCAACCCCTTAGCTGTCCCTAGTTTGCCGCTCCAAACCACAGGCATTGTTTCCACTAGCATCAGTCTACCTCAGTCTACACCATCTTCATTTTCCTTGTCAAATACATCTGCTGCTAATACTACATGCACCCCAGCTATGGTTTCTCAGTCATCCCAATACTTTGGGTTTCAACCACAACCCCCTGTTCAGATTGTACCAGTTACTTGTGCCACTGCTAGTGAACCAAGCATAGAAGCTTAACCGACTTACTTCAACCTTAACACACATCACCAAGTAAGTGCTATATTAAACAGTATTGCAGTTGTTTAACCTGTGGTGTAAGGACAATGTTATCTAGCAAACAAGCTTTTACATATAAACAGAGTTGGCAAAAGCAATTGTCTTTATAATATATTGCCAGGTTGTCTCAAAGCCTGCATGAATAAGTACAAGTTTACAATTCATAATTCATATAAATGTTGTGAGGTCAAGCAAAGAAATGCTTCAAGTGTGACAAAGTCAGACTTTGCCGGCCCTGTATTGCCTGCATATTCTACAACTGATATCCATTTCCTAATTCATGTATGAAAACTGCTTTTCATCAGTGCAAAATATTCAATTTTTATACGCCCGTTTGAAAAACGGGACGTATTATGGGAACGCCCCTGGCGGGCGGGCGGGCGGCGTCCAATTTTGTCCGGAGCATATCTCCTACATGTATGGAGGGATTTTAATGAAACTTCATATAAATGTTCACCACTATGAGGAGCAGTGTCGCGCACATGAACCAGGTCTCTAGGTCAAAGGTCAAGGTCACACTTAGAGCTCATTGAAAAATGCTTGTCCGGAGCAAAACTTCCACATGTATAGAGGGATTTCAATATTACTTGGCACAAATGTTCACCATTGTGAGGCGGAGTGTCGCGTGCAAGATTCAGGTCCTTGCGGCCAAGGTCAAGGTCACACATAGAGGTCAAAGTTCAGATAAAAATATGAAGATGTGTATATGGACCATTTAGTCATCATTAATTGAGGGATTGTAACACAAATGGTCATTATCAAGACTATGGCTGTGATACATATAATTTAGGTCAATATATACAAGGTCAAGGTCACTAAAGATGATGAAATATCCAGATTTTGTAAATAGAATTTAATCAAAGGGAGACAACAAAGTTATTACTTTGTTCATAAATGACTTACACAATTACTCCCCTTGATCTAAAAATAGAATTTAATCAAAGGGCATGAAATAATCCTCTTTCTTGGACTTGAGTATGTTGTAAAGAATGTAACATTTATTTACACATGTTTCATTCATTGGTCAAGATTCTTAACTGTGATAACTATGGTGTTCTGTAGACTTGGTATTTGTTCATAAAGATCATACAGTAATTACCTTATCAAATGTAAATACTTTCTCATAGAAATTTAATTATATTTTAATTTTCAAGTAAATATCAGTTCAGCTCATTCAAAGATTAAGAATTGTAATGAAATGTATTTCCCTAGAATAAAATCTTAAATCAGAATTTTTTAGTTATTAAATTACATGTACTTTTTATACGCCCGTTTAAAAAAAGATAAAAATATGAAGATGTGTATAGGGACGATTTAATCATCATTTATTGAGGGATTGTAACACAAATGGTCATTATAATGACTACGGCTGTGACACATGTACTTTAGGTCAATATATGCAAGGTCAAGGTCACTAAAGATGGTGAAATATCCAGATTTTGTCTGGAGCATATCTCATACATGTATGGAAGAATTTTTATAATACTTTATGGAAATGTTCACCACCATGATATGTATTGCTCCATGCATGATCCAGGTCTCCAGGTCAAAGGTCAAGGTCACACTTAGAGCTCATTGAAAAACGCTTGTCCGGAGCAAAACTTCTACATTCATAGGGGGTTTTCAATATAACTTGGCACAAATGTTCACCATTGTGAGGCTGAGTGTCGCATGCAAAATTCAAATCCCTGCGACCAAAGTCAAGGTTACACTTAGAGGTCAAAGTTCAGATAAAAATTTAAAGATGGTTATAGGGACCATTGAGTCATCATTTATTGATGGATTGTAGCACAAATGGTAACTATCATGACTACAGGTGTTACACATTTAATTTAGGTTAATATTTGCAAGGTCAAGGTCACTGGAGATGATTAAATATCCAGATGTTGTCCGGAGCATATTTTCTACATGCATGGAGGAATTTTAATGTTACTTTTATAGAATTGTTCACCACCATGAGACGTAGTGCCCTGCACATAAACCAAGTCTCTAGGTCAAAGGTGAAGGTCACAGTTAAAGCTCATAGAAAAACACTTGTCTGGAGCAAAACTTCTACATGCATAGAGGGATTTCAATATAATTTGGCACAAATGTTCATCATTGTGAGGCTGAGTGCCGTGCATAAAATTCAGGTCCCTGCAACCAAGGTCAAGGTCACACATTCTGTGCATATCTTCCCTATTGATTTGTTTTAAGGTTCATTTAACAACACAGTGCAAAGAATAAAAACTTGCTTGCTAGATAACACTTATCCATAATGCCCCCATCTCCATCTAAAGCTTTTTCGTAAACGGGCGTATTTTGTGACTATGGCACCCTTGTTTCATTCATGCTTTATTTTAGAAATTAATTGAAAACTTGTTGTAAGTGTTAAGAAAACAATCTAAATTTTTAATATGAATATCATAGGCTTATCTGTTCTTTGATTTGTACAGTTATTGGTAAAGTAACTGGTATTCTTCTACTTCTACAATACATTGAATTTTTTTAATTGAGACATGTTTGAATTTTTTTGTTTATAGTTACCTGTCTGATTTAATGGAGCCACTGTATGACGGAGACTCTCCATCAAACAATTCATGTCACCACTGCTGCAGGAAAATTCAACAGTTAGAAAGGGATATACAGTCTTTCCGTTCAAAGGTAAAGTTATCTAAGTTAAATGAGCTCAATACAACATTCTAATAAGCTGCATTCATTCAGCAAGACATAACATACACAGTCAAAGACATCCTTACTACAAGATAGTAATTCTGGCTGCAGTTCAACTGAGTTGAAGTACAATGTTAAAAATCTATAAAGTCAGAATATGTGAAAATTCTATAAAGTCTAGAATAAGGATGGTTTCAAGAAGTTAGTTGTCTCCTTGTTCTTGCCCTTTCAGTTATAAACATTAAGCAATTAAAGGCTAATTAACCTGTCACTTAAGAAAATTTTGCTGTGCTTATTTTGTAAACATATTCACAATGAAATGGCATTGTTGACTATAATCCCTTGCTGTAAAATTGTAAACACTGACATTCAAAGTGCTATGGAGGCATTGTTTCACTTCTGTGGAAATTCAGACATTTAATATTTACAAATGTATATGTTAGACTACAGGTTAAGTAAATATATAATTGAATGATTTTTATGGCATTTGTATTTTTCAGTTAGATGACATATGATGCTGAAACTTAACCAATCACATACTGTTAACCTCAATGTACCAAAGCAGGTGCAAGAAGTAGCACAGAGACCAGCACAGAGACCAATTACTCCGGACAATATACCAACATCTTCCTTACATGTAAGATTGATATACCAATATGCAGATGGTTTTAAGATAAGAGTAAAAATTTGAAATACATGTTTTGGAAAAAAATAGGTCTTAGGCAGGTTGTTCACTGACAATTTTGAGAAAAGTGCATCAACCAGTTTGGAAAAAATCAGTTTATTATCAATTTAGACTTTTTTCATTAACTGGAATAAAACATGTTGTTGTTTTTTTAAATTTATTGAATTGAAATAAATTTAAAAAAACAACAACATGTTTTTTTTTTTTAAGCATTGATTTTGTCTTCATTCTGTATTAAAAAATAAATATGAGTGTAAATAAGTGTGCATATAAACAACTCTTGTTTTCAAAACTCATCTGATATTTTTGTTAAATTTGGGAATGTTTGTCAAAGAATTAGGTAAAATAAGCATGCCCTTTGGTCAGATAGTTTTATCCTTGGTGACCCTGTGAAAAGATCTGCCTAAGTATTTTAATGTCATTCGACGTATTGCTGCTGTTCAAAGTCAAGTTTCCTAAAAGGTTAAACAAGAGCGATATATTAAAATTTGACTTCGTCAAATTGTTGTTGATACTTGATGTAAATATAGTCCTACCCTATATTTCCAGCAACAAGTGATGTTGATTGTTGGTGAGGAGAAACGGCTTGTAAAAGCTATAACAAAGGCCATGAGGGGAATGTTCGCAACTGCAGAGCTAGTTGGTTGCTCAATGAAGGGTCAGGCAACGAGCAAGGTCCCAAATCCAAGACCAGGGCTTCCTGAAGACAGGAGAAATGCAATCATTGGTAAAAAAAAGTTCATGTGTTTTAAAAATGTTTCAATAGTTTGATTAATATTCTGTTTACTTTTTTGATCATGCCTCAGTGTTCCTTCTCTAACTGGCTGTCCACCAAGTTGATATTTAAACAGTAATCACCAATTTCTCTAGAAAAATCGGGCTACTGATCCTAAATGATTTCTGATTCAAACAGTGAGAAACAAATTGCCATAATTCTCAATAAATGAGATCAATAATTAAGGAAATTATTCTAATGATCTAACCTGTGGTGTCATGAATACAAATCAAATGCTCTCCCAGAACTGAAACTTTATTTAAATAAAGCTTATGATTGATAAACTATACATAAATATGCATGGAATGCTTTTTTGTAGTCATTGGCTAACTGTACAGGTCTGTGAGTCACATACATCTAGCTTCTAGATGAGCACTGTTGATTATGCCCCCCACGGTTACATGTTTAAACAAATTCATTTTGATTTTCATTCATAAACGTTTACGACTTTTTTACCGTTTAAACGAAATAACCATATTGTCTTACAAATTATTTTATCAATGCCTGTAATCATGAATTCTAGTAATTCTAATTGATATTTTCCAAATTAAAAAACAGAAGATGGGTGTTTACAACTCTCCACATAGAATCACTGTGCAATAATCGCTCGTGATATAATACATTTTTTTTTCGTAAAGTTGATTTTCCTTTGATCTTTCAAAAGACAAAATGGGGATACAATGCAGAAAATTTGTGCAGACTCCCTTGCAATGAGCCCTGAACATTATTTATTTATACATGTATAAAATAGGATGATGTTCAGCCATTTATATTATGACAAGAGTTATATATATTATGTTTATATAATGTTTTAATATGTTTATATTATGACAAGATATCTGGTAGATCTATCTAAAATTCCATTTTAATTAATGAGTTCTCATGAGCGATGAAAATTCTGTGTTTTTTACAAGTCATAATTGAGCCGCGTCACGACAAAACAAACATAGTGCGTTTGCAACCAGCATAGATCCAGACCAGCCTGCGCATCCATGCAGTCTGATCAGGATCCATGCTGTTTGCTATCAGTTTCTCTACTTGTAATAGGGATGGTAAGCTGTTGAAAGTTTTAATGAAAGTGTTTGTGTTTTACACTGTTATTATACTTGTTTTTTATTGCCACTTTTCTTCTTTGTTTTAGATGTCGATCCTCTCAAGGAAACTGGAGGTTCCAGTGCAGGAAGTGGAAAATAAAATGCGAAGTGCATTAAGAAGACTGTGTGCCATGTATTCAGGAAATGCCAAATAAACAAAATGACAAAATAAGTGCTGTTAAAAGTGTAAATATGTGATATATGACTAAATGCAAATATTCGAGATTTCGTTATTTAATTTAAGTGCCGAATAAACTGAAAACCAAGAAAGTGCTGTAAATATGTGCTATATGACTGAATGCAAATGTAGAGTAGATTTTATTTAATTTATATTATTCTGTTTAAAAAAAAAACTTGTTCAGTTAAAATAAATAAATTTGTTTAGTAAAAATTAATGAAATAGTTTTTTTCCTTAATAATTTGTCTTGTTACTTTTTAAAATTCTTTTTGACATTGAACAGAAGATGGCAAAAGTTTCTTCTATCTGTTCACCTTACAGCTTGAAAGTAATTTATGTAAACAGTGCTTACTTTTGGTGTGATTGAAAATGCATATTTTCATCTTCAAGGTTTGTGGAAAGCATGGTATGTAAAATTTACCTTCGATATTAAATAATATGCCAAAACAAAAAATTACAGATTTTTGTTTTAGAAAAAAAAAACATACATTTACTGTTAAAAGCGAACATTTAACAAAGATAATATACACTTTTTGATAGTAAAAAATGTGCATTACGTGCAGAAAAAATACAGATTTAGTGCAAGAAAAATGAACTTTTTTATTGATTTAGCGCATTTTTTTTTCAATATAAAAACACATTTTTAGTGCATAAAAAATGAACTTTAAAAAGTCCATTTTTAACACAGTTAAAGCATACTTGTTGAAAAAATACACTTAAAGCGAACAAAAAATGTACTTTTAGCACAATTAAAACATACTTAGAAATACACATAAAATGAACAAAAGAAATGTACTTAAAAAATACACTTTAGTGTATTAAAAACATACTTGTTGAAAAATTCACTTTAAATGCAGAAAAAACGCAGTGCCAATACCACAAACTTTTAGCACACTTAAGTGCATTTTCAATAAGTTTATTTTTATTATGAAAAAATAAACTTTTAAAGTACTTTTTTGCGCACTTACAGGGCAGTTAATATCTTTTAAAAAAGTTTGTTTAAGTGTGTTTTTTATTTGCAAAAAGTAAATATAAAAAACGCAGTGCCAATACCAAACACGTTAAATGTACCTTTAACAAACACTTTGATGTTCGCAATATATATGTTTAACCTGCGTTATGTGCACTTATTTTGGAAATTCCGCTAAAATTGAGTTGTCCGCTTTAAACTTGAATGACTAAGTAGGAAGTTTAATTTTTTGCCTAAGACTTTACATTTATATTTTCTGCCTAAGCTCTAGGCGGAATCAGAGAATATAGGCAGATATTTCAGAAACTTAGGCAGACTTTGCTAGAAATTCCATGTCCGCCTTAACCTAGCAGAAAAATGTAGATTTTCTGAATATTTTAGATAGAGTTCGCCTGATATAAGGCGGATTCCGCCTTACTTTTTCGTATGGCTTTGGTAATTGGCAGAGTGTTTATCACACATGTTAAATTACCAATGAAAACTAGCAGATGTTTATTGGGCACACGTTTTCACACCATTTATATAATGTGATTAAGAGGAACATGTATTGACTTAAAGATTTTAAATAATTTTCTTAACTTGTTATTGTCGTAAATATTGCTGTTGAAGCTTATTTGGCAATATTTCAGAAAAGAAATTGTATATGGAATGTAAGATGTAATAAAACATTTGGAAATTAACATAATTTTTTTATGTTACAAATGATATAAGAAATCGTTGAGACTATTTTCATTTTTTGTCAATATAACTACAATTCTACATATCATAATTTACATTATAGTTGTAAGTTATTATATAGTACATGTTATTCTCGAAATACGTTAAAGGGAGACACAGGCAAAATTTTCATTTCTTAGTTTTTAATTTTTCATTCATTATTCTTTTAATGCCCTCAAAATGAATACTTAAGACAGTCAAAGGAACAAAAACTTTTCTCCATATAAAGAATAAAATGGTTGTTTCCTAACTTGACCCGCGTGGGTCAGGTTAGAGCGCTAGCATTTCACAATAGTTGTCAAAGTGAACTTTGGGAAACTCTGGAAACGTTAAATGTCAAATGAATGACTTAGGCTTGTTTCAATCATATAATATCCACAATATCTGTTATTGTAACTTCAGGGGTTTGTTCAAGTCACCTGACTTGTTTAAAAACTATTTGATGATTCTACTGGCATCTAAAATTTGTACAACATATGAGCTGCGTCACGACAAAACCAACATAATGGGTTTGCGACCAGCATGGATCCAGACCAGCCTGCGCATCCCCACAATATCTGTTATTGTAACTTCAGGGGTTTGTTCAAGTCACCTGACTTGTTTAATCAAAGCACAGAAGGCGCTGAATTTGTTTGGGTCTCAGAATGTAAGAAAGGTGCAGGTTGTGAGATTATATGTTTAGTGCCACCAATGCTTTCCAGCGTTTTAATTGTAGTAAATTGGCTATAAGACTAATTGCAACACTGATATTCAATCCAATGTTTATTTGACTTTAACAATTTAAAAAAATAAGTTACCTTTACTGGGATTTGAACTCCAGACCTCTCGCTTCCTAAGCGAGCCCGAAAACCCTTCAGCCACGGTTAAATTTATATGTGAACGGCCTGAAGAAAACCATATTATTCTAAATTAGGGCTTGTAACGACTTTTAACTGTTGTTTAACACAGATGTAAATAATCCTGAAGCTTACTATAAGCATGTATATTTATAAAGAATCAAAGGGCTTCATGTTCTTTGGTATTTTCTGATATTTGCAATCTAAATCGTACTGTATATCTGTATGCATTTTCCTGTATAAGTTTATTTTTATGTATTATAATTCATTTTGTAAGGCACATACGGAATTCTGCATAACTAGAGTTGCATCAAAAAATCATTTATGTACTTTTTTTACGACAGCCACACTTTATCCTTGTAAATCATGGCTACTTCCTTAACAAAAACAATTAAAAAAAGAATTTAACCAAAAAAAAATTTCCTCGACTGGGATTCGAACTCGAGACCTCTCACTCACTAAGCGAGCGCGTTACCACTGTACCACGGAGAAGTTATACACAGTATGTCTGAATAATATCAAGTCATTCTAAATTTAGAACTTCCATTGCATTCAGGTTTGTAATCCTTATTAATTTCGAGGTATTTTGTTCAGGGTAAACCTGTTGTTTAAAATTGAAGTAAATATTTTAGCGAAAATCCTCTCGCCCAAACAGTCCGACATGTAGAATCTATATATTCCACTACTCGGTTTGTGTAGTATTCGGTAATCTACATGGCTAAAAATAGTATTTTCATTGATAAAATCATATTCATCCGCGTAATTTGTGATTGTGCATTTATTGACAATTCTATAAGCCAACGCTATTGTTTAACTTTAAATGCGTTGTAATTTGTTGGATACTTGTAACAAAATAAAATATTTCTTTCTTTTAAATCGCTAGTTTTAAGCTGTTTTGAGAACTACTTGTTGTTAGGTTTGTCATAAACTTCTGTGTCGGAGATTGAATGTCCGCTTTGTATTTAGTTATTTTCGATCAGAAAATACCAGAAAACAATATTAGAAATCTTCGACCATTCGGGAATTACTTTGCTTGAAAATTGATGCGCCTGTCTTTGACCATCTTTACGCAGTGATCTCCCCTGAATTTTTCGGCTTTAGTGTACATACAAAAGGGAAGTAACCGCTTCAAAAAAGTGGACTACTTTCGGCATTTGCAATTAAGAACATTAGACTCTGAAATTTCGCTACCATTATTTGTTTGGTCTGACGACCCAAACAAATAAAAACTATTTGATGATTCTACTGGCATCTAAAATTTGTACAACATATGAGCTGCGTCACGACAAAACCAACATAATGGGTTTGCGACCAGCATGGATCCAGACCAGCCTGCGCATCCGCGCAGGCTGGTCTGGATCCATGCTGGTCGCAAACCCACTATGTTGGTTTTGTCGTGACACGGCTCATATAAAGATATATTTACGCTTCAAACCCAAAATATATAGAATTTAAACAAAAATTCAAGCTGAAACTTCCAGAAAAGTCATTTAAAAGCGTGATTTGAGTACATAAGAACATTTTAATATTTTTGTCATTATTTTGCCTGAATATCCCTTTAAAATTAGAATTAATTGAATTTTCAATCACAACCATTTATTGATTGATTGGTATTTTGTTTTTGAATTCATAATGTAAATGCCATAAAAAATGAGATCATCGCTACTTTGACCAGTCAATTCAATATATAACATAGATTAAGTAGACATGTAAAATAATTCATTGCCAATATAACATGCATGTGTTTGTCACAGAAAAATAAACTAAATCTTTACAAACTTGTAGATATGAATTAATACGTAATACACAGATTGCGCATTTCTAGCTCGACTATACGAAGTATATGGAGAGCTTTCCTACTCGCCCCGGCGTCCGCGTCCAGATTTCAGATTAAAGTTTTGGTGCACACTATAACTTTGTCATTTCTTAAGGTATCATCTTCAAACTTCAAATATATGTTCCTTATCATCATCCCCATCTTATGTGACAAGGTTCATAACTCTAGCACCAATATTTTCAGATTTATCTCCCCTTGAACTTAGAATTTTCCTTAAAAAATACTATTTTTTACTGTAAATTCTTTATTTCTTAAGGAATCAACTTCATACTGCAAATATATGTACCTTATCATCATCCCCATCTTATGTGACAAGGTTCATAACTCTAGCACCAATATTTTCAGATTTATCTCCCCTTGAACTTAGAATTTTTCTTAAAAAATATTATTTTTTACTGTAACTTATTTATTTCTAAAGGAATCAACTTCATACTTCAAATATATGTACCTTATCATCATCCATATCTTATGTGACAAGGTTCATAACTCTAGCACCAATATTGCAAGAATTATCTCCCCATAAACTTAGATTTTTTTACTTGAAAAAATGTTATTTTTTACTATAACTTTTTTAGTTTAAAGGTATCTACCTCAAACTTCAAATACTTATTCCTTATCATCAATTACATTTTATGTGACAATGTTCATAACTCTTGAAGCAATTTTCACAGATATATTTCTCTTTGAACTTAGGATTTTCTTTAAGAAATATTATAACTTCTTTACTTTTTAAGGTATCTACTTCAAACTTCAAATATATATTTCTTATCATAACACACATGTTGTGTGACAAGGTTCATAACTCTAGCGTGACTATTTCTAGAATTATTTCCCTTGATCTTGGAATTTTTGTTAACAAATGTTATTTTTTTACTATAACTTAATACATAATTATACATAATTGATTTTTCTTTCATAGTTTTGTCCTCCTTACAGCGTCCAGTATTTTATTAGTCGAGCTTGGCTGTCTCCTGTGACAGCTCTTGTTATTATTATCATTATCATAATTCCTTCACTGGGGGTCTTATTTGATAATTCATGCCTATCTGTTATTCTATAGTGCAAAAATTGAGATAGGGGTCTACGTGTCATGGGGTCTAGAAGTTATTTTAATATCGTAGGGTCGAGAAGTCAAGGGATCTAAATGTCTTACCAAATATATAGGCTATTCAGATTTTATTCCACTTGCAATTATTCAAATATATAGGTTATTTTAATTTTACACCATAGTATCTTGCTTGAGACCCAACAATGCATAGCCATTATATAGATTTCTTGCTAAATCATCCCAGATTTTGGGTCATCCAAATTGTCTGTATCCCAGACTGTAAAAGATGGATATAAATGACCAAACATTGTATTCTAAATATACATTTATATATGGCACATTAATTTTGGATCATACATTTATTTCATTATACAAAGTTAGATCCCATTGAAGCAGCATCTGAGACTGGGGAGGTAGTAGACCAAAACAAGATAGAGACTTGCAACAAAGATGTTGGGAACAAAACTGATCCTGCAGCATCCAGTGGTAAATGATTTTAATAATTACTTAATGCAGACTCAATTTGTAAATAAGGTTTGTGATTTATATGTTTACATTTGAAATAACAAAACTCCTACTCTAAATTTTGCCACCAAATTATGAAGATGTTTTTTAATGAGATTCATGTATGATTAGTATGGTCATGATCCTCAGATGCCACCAATCTAGTTGTGGTCAGAAGTGGAGAATGTTGGTCTAAGAGCTTGAATTTTAAATTATTTCCTAATGGCATCTGAAGACAGATTTTCTATAACACTTGCCCATTTGAATTTTGCTTACGAATATGG